GGGGCAACTGAGTAGGAATGGGGTAAAATTATCTTAGAGGTGGTTGAGTTGGGGGACACCGATATTGGTCGTCGTTACCTAGAAAGAGTAAGTCAATCGCCGATAGTGGTGATGTTTGAGAGTTTTTAACGGGTAAGGTGTTGAGTCACCGATGTTGGTGACAAAAGAAAACAGTACTAGTGTGTGTGGGTGGCCAACTAGGGGTCGAGTGATAGAAGAATAAATAATGGTCGCCGATACTAGTGACAGATGAGAGTAACCGTGCGGGTGAGTGGCCGAGTCAGGGCCGAGGGGGTGATATGGGGGGGGAGTGATTACACCTAGTATGAATAACGATTAATTACTTGGAAGATGTAGTAATACTGTAGAGTTAAAGAGTAGGAAGAAAGCATGACTTAGGTAACGGGAAGGGAAAACATATAAGAATGAGATTTTAATTTGGTTTGTATGCTATACTTGTTATTTAAATTTACTGTACTAAGTTATATGTACTCATTCTTTATTATTTACAGATGAAGTAGGAATGAAGTCGGGATCGCAGTTACCGGTTTCCGAACCTAGCATATAAAGAAAACGGAGTAGGGATTACTGCCGGTATAATTGTAAACTTACATAGTTGGTAGTAATGTGGATCATATGTAAACTAAGAATGTATGAATTTGTATTCTACTGTATTGATACATTTATGGTTGAGGGTTTCTATTTGGCATTGAGTAATAGGTTATGATAGTTTTTTTTTTTTTACGTGATTGATTTGAAATGAGATACGAGTATTCTGCATATCGAACTGTTTGAGACTACGTCACTAAAGAGAAAAAAAAAAAAACGGGGCGTTACAGAGAGAGAAGAGAGAACAAATATAATGCGGATATCAATATGGCTATAAACTTGAGTCTTGTAGTCTTATCTGCATGTGATTGTAAACATACTAGGCTATGGGTGAGCATAAAGCAAATTATTTTATACACATATATTTTAAAAGCTAAAATAATAAAATATCTCCTAAAATATATAAAAATATGGTAATAAAAATATATTTTTAGTTAATTTTTGGGTAATAAATTGGCACAAATTAGATAGAAGAAGTCATAAATCTTATTGATTTATACAAAATTTTTGTAAGTATAGGCTTTGTATGAGATGGAGAAACCTTATAGTACCAAATGCAATGGAAGAGGAATTATACCAATTCGTTTCTTTTCGGTTGGAGCATAATCTTGAAATAACATAAAGTTGCATATTTATCTTTTCATGATTCCATTCCCTTTCTTTTAGCTTAAATTAACAAATTTAAAAATCGTGTTTTCATATCCATATCTTTTGTTATTCTTTTTTGGTGATTTTATTCAATCGTAAATAATAAGTAGGTACTTTACTTCGTAAAATAATACTTGAAAGTATATACAAATGGATATACATATATATATATACACACACACATATTAATAATGTAAAAGCCAAATTAACAAGTTTTTGTGATTTTATATATTCGAATCGGGTTGTACTTCTTTTTACGTTCTCATTTAAAAATTATTTTTATTGTCTTATAATTAGTACGTATACATTATTTAATCAACAAATATATAAATTTATTCAAAAAATTTATCGATTTTTAGTACTTAACATTGTTCGATTTCCCTTAAAACAACATTGAGGGTTTTTAGTGTTTATATTATATTATTGGACATGTTGGGGATGTTTTTTCAATATTATAAATCTTTTTTGTGCAACTAAATATATAGAGATAATTTTCAACTTACAAATATGATAGTTTAATGTAGTTAAGGTAGAGCATATATTATACAATTAAATTTAAATTCTGAGTGTGCGTGCATATATATATATATACCCACCATATGTTTCTGTATATATATATATATATATATAGACTATTGTTTAGGAGGTGGGTATTTACAAAAGTGTAAGTTATGATACATGCTTTGGATTTTAATATTCTTTCTGAACCCACAAATTCTTATAAGATTAGGTTAAAAAATGAAAGTGCTTTTGGAAGAAACAAGATTACATGACCAAAAATCTCCTCTTCATTATTAAGTATATCGATGGAATACAAACATTATTTAATGGATCTATTTAAAAATATTATTATTTAATTAGTTTAGACTCAATATGAAACTTAGAAATTCAAATTTGAATAAAATTTTAATAAAAATTAAAAAAAAAGATCAAATTTCTATTTAATTAAATTTGGAAAATACATATGATAATTTAAAAGATAAGTTTATTAATTTGTTTAATTTTTATTTCCACAAAATTAACTCTTTAAGATTATATATAAACTAATTAAATAGAAATGACTTCATAAGTACATCAAAATATCTTCTTAGTTTAGGTATATATATATATGTATATATATATATATATGTTGTAGGATAAGCTTTAGTATGGAAAAAGAGTCAACTTTGGAGATGGAGTCATGTTATTTTCACATGAATTGTGGGTCCAAATGAATGAGATTTATTATAAATATAATAAAGTAATTATGCAAATTATATTCGATATGTGAATATTAATCTTATAGTTTGAAGATAAAATCTAAGGAGTTAGAGAACCTTCTATATATAAAGAATACTAGATTCTTACACTCTACTACGTATATAATATTATTATTTTTGGTTATATAAATATTATTTTGTGTAAACAAAATTAGATGAAAATAAATAAATTTTTAACAAAAATATAAAAAATTATCATACGTTTATTTTTAACGAAAAATTTATAGAATGAATGAAATATAGAAAAAAATATGTAATCGAGAGTTTATATAGTGAATAATTCAGAGTCTGCGATAAATTAAAAATAAATTAGATGTAATAGTAATCATACTCTCAAATTATATGTTTATATTTAAAATATGTTAAAAAATAATTATTATATTTTACTACATTAGTATTAAGTGAATAGATAACTATTACTTGTATTTATTATCATATTAGTTTTATTTTAATATTTTTAAAATTATTTTTATATTATAAAAATAAATATATAATATATATATATTATTATATTAAAAATAAAATTATTTCAAAAAATATGAAGAATTGACACATGTTAATATCCATTATTCCTTATGTATATATTGATTTGATTTTCATGATAACATTGATCAATTTGGTTTACATTTTTTTTTTCATATAAATTTAATTATTTGGTTTAGGTATATGATGTAAAATAAACTAGCCCATTTATACTCTTTTTATTTTTAAGTACATGGTATATCCAATACGTAAAAATTTTATTATTTATCATTATATTAAGATAGTGTCTCTACAAGATTTGAAATAGCTTAATTTGAGTAAATAAAATCTTTTTTAATTGAAAATTTCGTTTAAGGATGTCGAACAAATTAATGATAATTTATTCGTGTTGTATTTGAATATATCATCTCTCAGTTTTATACAAACAAAATAAGAATCAATAGAAATACATTTCATCTTGGCATGTAACAAAGGGCAAGTTGATACTTAAATTGCTCTTGAATCATTATAATAAAGAATAAAATGGTTTGAACAAAAAAAATATATATATTATCCAAAGAGAATATCGGAATCTAGACTAGCTTTAGTGGATAATAAAATAACATTCTACCTTGATGGCATATCAAGTTACTAATTTTTATTTATGAATATAACAAGAAATAAGATTAACGTCCATACAATGTGTTGATAAGTTGAAGTTTGCATCTCGTCTTGTTGATATGTGATTATGTTATAAGTAGAATAGAGGAGATAGAATTCATATGGTTAAAGTTATTTTGAATGTACCTTTTAAACAATAATGTAACCTGACTTTAGAATTTGGTCCGGGATTAATTTTAATATTAAAAAATATATAAAAACCTATTTTAAAATTAACTTATTTTAATTTTTGTTGGATTTATAAAAAAAAAAGGTTATTGATGAAATTGAAAATAATTTTGGAAAAAATAGATGAAAATTTAGATTTGGGGGATGTTTTTAAAAGAAAAATCAGAAACTAGAGGTGAGAATACAATCAAAAAAAATTTTACCACGTAGAACCGTCCAATTCGCAGTCTCGACAAATCGGAGCGCCCCCCGTGGCAAGGCAGGTTGACTTAGTGCCACACGGGAGGCTATGCTGGCGATCCGTGTGCCCCACGATCGGACGATCCAGAAGTGTTCCCGCGTGCGTGGACAGTCCAAATCCGGTCTCCCCTAAGGTGCAATCGGACGATCGCGATTAAACGTGATGAACAGTTCAGATTCGTTTCCTATTTAAACGCGATCGTATGGTCGAGATCAAATACGATGAACGATCCAGATTAACGCAAGAGGAGTATAAGTATTTCGTATCACACCGAATCTGAACCCTACCCGCTAGCCTCCTGCCGGAGAAGAAGAACCAGTTGCCAGAGAATGGAGCTGACTACCGCCTGCTGCCGCGTCGGAGCCACATTTGACCGCCAAAAAGGTAAAAATTCTTCTATCCGCTCGGATTTGATTCAGAGCACCCCTATAGTTGAATCAGAGCAAAAAAATAGCTAGTGAACCGAAAAACACGAGCAAAGCCCGGTGGCGTCGCCGCTGGTAAAACCCGTAACTGCCTCTGATGAGTCCCTTCCCGTTTTTCGTTTCGTGCAATTTTTTCACCATTGTATTCACCGTTCTATTTTTTACAAGTTGACTGAAGAAAAATACTTAGTCGTGAAGGTGAGCTGGTGGAGTCGCCGCACCAAAAAATTCCACTGCCGGTAGGCTTTCATTTTTTGACTTTTTTTTACCAACCGAGGCCCGCTAACGTATTTTCTCGTAAGGATAGGTATAAAACCGATCGAAATCGGCCAAAAGTGGTTGAAAACGGCCAAGCCGAGGCAAATTACCACCGCAGGCGGCTGTGTTGCAGTGCCAAAATCCCGAAATTGGCCGAAAAAGAATTTTTAACACCGATTTTGGATTTTTAGAATATCTTTAGGTACGTGAAGCGTATTTTAATCTTCATAGAAAAATTCAGGAAACTCAAAGGCCGCCAATAGGTGCAGTAGAAAGTTCAGTATTTCGGACATCGATTCGAGTAAGAATCCTTCACTTTATTCTCTGTTATAGAGTTGAAGCTTAATAATCGATAATATGGTATTTTGTGTAATTTAGAAAACTTTGAGAATAATTACAAATTACTAATAGAGGCGGAACTGATTAGTTATTTATTTGTCTTATTTAACTGATTGTTAAATTTACAACTTTAAATACATGATGATATACTGAAATAGTTAAATGATTCGGTTGTGCTTCTTTGATATATATATATTGCTAATCTTGCGTGATTTATAGTTGAATTGTGAAATTAGAAATTAATATGCAAATGGAAAATTAGTTGGTCATGTGAATTAATGAATGATAGTCTTATTGAATATCCTAATAGATGGTGGACAGACCGTGAACGTTGCCTCATACCAGACAGGATATAGGGACGACCTGATTCACCCTCATACCGAATGAAGTATTGAGAGATAGTATTTTTGGCGCTCATACCGGATAGGGTATGGGGACGGCCGGTTAGTTGACAATATTGGATATTAATTCACATATAGTGGGACATCCCTATAGGCCCCCAGGGATACTAATAGGCAAATAAAAAGGGAAATTTATTGTTATTATTCACTTGAAAATGAGATTAAAATGTTATTTGTGTTATTATCTTTATAGGTCAATTTTAAAAATCTCAC